ATATATATATATAACGTTCTACCAACTCATTCATTATGTTTTGTGCTGTGAGTATGAATGTGCTAAGAGAGAAATCTAGGTCATTTCTTCATCATTAGTATGCCAGCCAGGTGTAGTGCAAAGAGGATTAGAGGGAAGTAATGCTGATGGGACTCTCAATGTCTATCTGCTCTCTCTCTCTCTCTCAAACCAAACCATCACACTTAAGTGCTATACCTGCTGTCACATCAAAGAGCATATCCATGACAAGTAACCCTGACTTATAATAAAACATCCATGAATTACCCTCCTCCAATGATGAGCCCATCAAACAAGGAATATTTCCTAAATTTCGATTTTCGACATAATGTGAGATCATAAAAGCCGGGGCCAGAACATTTAGTCAACAGGTAGTGTACATGGGTGCTTGAAGTGTCTCCCCTGTGACTGCTCCTCCCAAAGACCAGAGTAGTAGTATACAATTCATCTAATGTGCAAGCATATGAGCAGCAGTCATCATCTAAATGTGGAGAAGCTGGAGTAGTTTCCAATGAAGTTGATTGAGAGGAAGAATTCAACATTTGGGGTGGAGCTACAGAAAGCCCGATACACTATGCTTTTATTTGTTTAGTATTATTTGGGACGAGGGACGAGGAACAACAGGACCGATTGTTCACCAGCTGTCACTCTTAATAACATTGTGATTGTAATACCATTATGCTTTGACTGCAGTTATTAATCACACTTAGTGGAATTTATTTTTACAACTTGCGTGCTTCTCTTTCTGCCTCCTCTTTAAGCTAGATGGATGATGTCCTGTTGTTCCTCGTCTCCGCTGTGTTCAGTTACCGTCTTTGGTACACCGCTTACGATGACTGAGCATGACTCAGCTGAGTGTTTTGTTGTTGCTCTGCTATTGATATCCACTCATTCCATTTACCATCCCGACATCCACACATGGAGCTAGTTCATCAGACATGTTGTGTCTGTTCAACTTTTGTTTTTTGTTCACCGATTTCTTTTCTTCCCTCTCCAACTGAATTGGTCCCACCTCTCAAATATAACATGGAAAGTTGCTGTGAATGTATGAAGAAGTGCAGTACAAGCCCATGATGACAGCATAAATAGATCATTATCTTTTGAATCTCTGATGAACTGGTTCCCAGGAATAATTGCCATCCCTGAGAAATGATAGCTTGTTTCTGCTACAGCGATGGATCCACAGAGTGGAACTCCTCCTTCCCCAAAAAGACACTCCAGCAGTGAAACATGACACGGCTCACTCACCCCCTCCTGCTATCCTACCTCTACTCCTCCCTCATCTCATCACAATTCACAACCTGTGAGGGTTGACCCATTTGTAAGTGCCTTCATAGCGAAAATCCAACTTTCTTTGCCAGGTCGTCTGCTTCAGTTGGGCCCCGACTGACAAAAGAAAGTGAAACAATCACAATCAACACTCTGTATTCAACCCATTTTTCCATTTGAGGGCATAGTGAACAACATTTCCTACCTTCCATATTTGTAAGAAATAGGTTTGGGCTTCTCTCTGTCTATGTGATGAAGAAGAGGTGTGAAGATCCTCCATGCTTCCCTTAGTTCATCACTGCAAAGACAAACAAGTCAGCATGTGGTGGAGGACATACAAAGTGCATCTGACTCCCACAGAAGACGTCCAGGATGAGACGCTCGCGTCTGGAAGCTTCACACCCTGGAAACAAGACACACATTTTAAATCGTTTCTTTCTTAATTAAAAAACATTCGGCTAAGAAATTAGAGACGCGATACAGATAGCTACTTTCTTTGTAATCGCTATATAAATCACTTGCTCTATGCATAAACAACTTTAACATGCCTTGTATCTACTCTTGTAGGTGAGGTCCAGCTCAGTTTCCTCAGGGCTGAAGTAGACACCAGGCTTCTTGCTCATCATCTTGGCGTAGACGGCCTCGTTGGGCTGCGCACGCACCACGAGCTCATTCCTGCCACACTGATTTCCAAAAATGTCCCCTGGGACATCTGTGAATTGCAGCCGCACCTCAGAACCACAAACCTGGGGCACAGACTAAATCTGCGAGCAAGTAAAGGCTTTGCTGTAACAAGTAAGTTTGGTTGGCTGTGTGTGTGTTTTGGTTTTTCTGAAATAACAGAGCCAAGGGGAGAGTAGAGAAAATAAATCTTTTTGCAATTTGCCATGCTGTATGCTGTGTGTGTGTGTGTGTGTGTGTGAGTGAGAGAGAGAGAGAGAGAGAGAGAGAGAGAGTGATCATGAACTGAACACTGAACAAAGAGGCGGGGATGTAGGAAGGAAAAAGAGATGTTCTTGTGTTCCACTTACAGTGAGACAGCAACCTGTTCAGCACTTTGTAGCTTCCAGTCACTTGCTACTCTTTTAGACTGTAGATTTATACCATCAAAGAGTTTGCTGTGGCTGCATAAAAAGAACTTCCTTCGGTAGGTATCAAAGCTTACGTGGCTAATTAGCGCACTCACCCAAACATGTAGTGTAGAAAAGGGAATTTTGCTGCAGGAAGCTAAATTCCCTTTTCCCATTCAGAGACTAATCTTGTGGTTAATTGTTCCTTTGGCTTGTGAAGTCACATTTACATGCTAAAACCGGGCTCTTGCTCAAAGAAAATGCAATTCTATATTTTGATACTGGCTCACACATATAGACATGATCCCTGAGCTTTGTGTGTTGTTGTTTTTTTTGGAGTATTGAAATTTTGTAAGTACAAACAGTGAGTACTACATTTCTAATTAGAAGAATAGATGAAGCTTGACACTTGCTTGCACTTGTATTTGAACAGTTGTAATGTGTGTAATCTTCTTCCTACAGCCACTGTTAAAGTGGATATATTATGTTCAGGCAAAGATACACACACACACCAATGCACAAGAGAGGAATCCAAATTGAATGTAGGAGAGGAAGAGCACAGTTCATCAGTGGTACAAACAACGCTTTATCTCCCACTGCAGGTGTGTGGATTACCTTTTTAATTGGATCTTTGTACGAGACCGGCAAAGGCAAAGGACTGCTGTAGTCACTGTTGAAAAGCGTATGATAGAGGAAGGAAAGGGCACGGAGCGAGCAGGGGAAGGGAGCTGAGCTTCAATCATTTTTGGTGCGTGCTTTTGGAAGCACAAACCAGAGAGACACAGCCGAGATGTGTGTCCAACACGCATACTTACACACATGCAAGTACACAAACACAGCAGCCTTGAACAACCTCCCGTACAATCTGCAGTACACTGTAAGATATTAGCTGTATCAGTGTGTGGATTTGGAGAGGATGGTTAGGACTGTCCTCTGTCCCTCTGGTCCCTCTTATCTACAAAAACCTGTTACACACATCAAGACCCAATCGAACTAGAGGTCAAATTCATTTTTTAAAAATTTCACATCTCTAATTGTGTCTGTCACAACAAGGCACACATCGGCACCACCCATCTTCATCATGGCAGCAGAGCTCCTCCAGGCCACTGGGGGCAGAGTGGAGCAGATGGAAGACAGCATATGGGTCGAGTGAGGCAGATGTCCTCCTCATCCACCTCCTCCAACTTCACCTCCTCCATGAGCTCCCCCAAGCTACGAAAAGTTGTGCAGGCCTTGTCGAGCACCTTGGAAGGTAGGGATTGTCCACCAAGATCATCTGCTCCCGAACTGCCATGCTGTCTAATACAAGCTTTTTATTTATGAGACGTGGCACGAAGGAGCATCTGTTAGAGTCATTATTACAATGAGCAAAAGTGGCATAATTGATGAACATCAGATGGTTAAATTGGCAGCTTTAACTGACATTTCTTACCTATCCCACTGTGTAGAACATTGTCTTATCCTGCTTAAACCTCAGAGCGCATTGGGAACTAAATGTCAGGCTGCCACTTTAAGCTCCTGGCCAAATGCACACCAACAATAAAGCTAATTAACCACATTATTTCTGTACTACAGTGCGAAAACCTAGCACAGTTTGCCTGTTTGTACATGATTATGAAGTGGATGTCCTTCATGCTCCCTTAGAGCACTCTGGGATCCAGCGTAAGACCTCCGCTGTGGTGGAGTCCTTCAGCCAGGTACAGAAATCCTCCCAGATCCCCGAGGGAGAGTCTGTCCCAGATTTTGAGGAGAAGCTGCGGCCCGTCACTGCCCAAGAAGATGAGGTGAACCGACTCGTCTGAAATTTCAAGAAACGCCCTTTGCGTCCCCTAATATCTCTCTTGACATTACATTATAAACAACTGTGGGCCCTTGAGACTATGGGAGCTAATTTTAGATCCTTACCCATAGTTTGCCTAGAAACTCCAGATGACAACGGCTAAACTCCACTGGGAAGTAAAAGTTTGCTGCTATGTGTAAACTTTAGACTTTTGACTTTCTGGGTGAAGGTACTGTTAATCCACACGGATCAAAGTGACAAAGACCTCACAAAGCAATACTGTGATAGAGTTTGTGTGATGGTTGTGAGCTCCACAGAGAGAACAAAAACATCTGCTGCCTTTGCTGAATACTAGTGCCTGTTTTATATAAACTGTAGGTGTTTGAGCCTCACTCAACCTGACTCTGCCTTTGCTGAATACTAGTGCCTGTTTTATATAAACTGTAGGTGTTTGAGCCTCACTCAACCTGACTCTACCTGTGAATTATAGATTAGGAGGCCTAAATAGTCACAATATAATACAGACGGCTGCAGAGTTGCCATAGAATTTGCATTCATTGACTGACTTTAAACTCACTGGAAAACAGGAAAAGGCAAGATAGGGTCAATTGACCGGATGTATGTTATTCTCATCACTGCAGTTGTATTTAATGTTACGTTTATTAACAATAAATGATAATGCAGAAAAGAGAGGAGAAACGGTAATTACTCTGCACCTCAGTATTGTCATACAGATAACATGCATTCACCTAGTTTGTTTTAACTATGTTTTAACTATGTTTTTTACTATGTACTGGCTCTGTGGCACTCTGAGATTTTTTTAAATGAAAAGTGCATTACAATTAAAATGCAAAAAGGGGGGGGGGGGGTATTTACCAAGATACAGTATATAGTCAAAATACATTCCTATAAAAGGTGAATGTGACCATACAGAGCGGCTCTGTGCACAAGTAAGTCAAGGGACTTTGCCATCTTGGTTCTGTCAACTGAACATGCATCATGACGAAAAGTAGATAGAAAAAAACTCTCCCTGATCCTTTTATCTATAACCACTCTGGAGTGGATTTAGCGCTTTCTCTGTACCAGCCGGGGAGCTTAAGTGAAGCTTAAATAGCTATTATAAAGCAATTAACTTGTGGGTGCTGACATATGCATCTCCCCTTGCCATCTGTTTCTTTGGTGAGGGATGACTGTTAAGTTGCAGCGCTAAATGTTTACTGGGTGTTCCCAGCATGGCACTGCCTCCTTCTGCACAACATAAGTATTGCAGTGGGACTTAAAGTCACTGGATGATGTAATGACAGTGTGACAGTTTTAGTCTTATAGTAAACGACAAGCAAGGCCATTTTCATTCATTTTTAGGTAACCTGTAATGAATTTCCTCCACTTCAGATCAAAAATCTGACCCTGGAGGACGCTGATGTCTACAAGTGCATTGCCTCCAACAAGCACGGAGAAGCCATTTACTCTGAATCCCTCATTGTTACAGAAAGTGAGTTTATCCATTTCCCATCTTACATTGTGTGAACCGTTCTCAGTCCTGATAGTTATTTAGAAGCTTTTCCGCTTAGTTTACGTGCTGTTTTCACTCAGTGCCGCAGGTTAAGATGCTCTGTCGTTTGTTTAAAGATCCAGCGTTGGATTTCAAAAAGATGCTGAAGAAACAGTAGGAACACAAGCCTGTTGTCGAATACTTTCCCTGACACTCCCAATACCTGTCATGGTGTGATGGAGATTTCTCTGATCCACCCCCGGTTCCTTTTTGTTTTTTTTGCATGCATCCAGAAATATCTACAGGATGAGATCTAAAGAGCTGCAATGCGTACCAGTGCTGCCGCAGGAGCTGAGGAAGATGCTTTTGAGCTGTCAATGCACATAATATGCATACTGTCAGACATAATGTCTGACATACATACATGTGATGCACACACACACACACACACACACACACAAGCCTGGCATACACTTTTGTGTGTGCATGTAAGCACACATGAACAATTGCTTCCTCTTTGTGCAGCAGCGTAGAGAAGAGAGAGGAGAAGAGGCCACCTACAGAGGAGGAGATGCTAAAGATCCTGGCTGGAGCTGACAAGAGGGACTACGAGAGGATCTGCGCCGAGCACGGCTTCACCGGCTTCAGAGGCATCCTCAAGAAGCTGAAGGAGATGAAGAAGAAAGTGGAGGTGGAGGTGGGCCTGTCACACGGAGAGCTTGTTCGCGCACCACAGGATCAGGATAAGGAAGAACAGGTTTGGGGAGCGATATGAAGAATAGCTTAAAATAGAGCAGAATGGAAAAGGGGACTAGTGTAATGTCACACAGCACAGCCATGGCAACAAAGGTATGTCAGATAGCAACACTCACGTCAGCTAATGTGAAGATGGGGAACAAATGACATGTTTGTTTAAAATCTGTAAGTGTTTGATGTTATGATATTTTCCAGATGGTACGCGTGCTGAAGCCCCTGGAGGACATCACTGCCACAGCTGGCACCAGCATCGTCTTTGACTGAAGGATCCAAACATCAGGATGCAGTGGTTTCTGGTTAAAAAAAAAACGATGTGTCTGCCTGTTTCAAAGTTATACATGGGTGTCTCAGTTACATAAAACATTTCCCTGAGCTCCCCCCCTCGTCTATGCATTTTGTTTACGACTCAGGGCGCAGAGCTGCTGCGGATCCAGTACTCTCATGGAAAATACGAAGTGAAACAGATGGGAACCAAGCACCTGCTGTGCATTTCTGGCGTGGGCCTCAGTGACACGGGCACCTACACTCTGCAGGTTGCAGACAAGAGACTGTCAGCCAGGCTTAGCGTCATAGGCAAGTGCAGAATGGGACTGCAGTCCTTCCACTGCTCATGACTGAGAGAGATACTATCACCATAGACTGCATTACCCAATCTAGGCGTCACTTTCTCTTTTTATTCACTTGTTTTGTAGTGTTTGACAGACAGGGACACTTCTTCTGTGTGCAGAATTAGCAATGTGCATGACTGTTTTTGCTTAGCTTTTTAGACTCTTGTTCCCTCCATTTATTGTCAGCTCCTTGCCGTGTCTCTCATTGCTCATTCCATCTACAGGACATAAATACACAAAATTAATCTTTCCCCTTTCGTAGTTGTCTCATTTTTCTCCAAACACCTCAGAACGGATTGACACACATCTTTTGTAGCTTACTAATGCTGTTATTTGGCATGAAAGTCTATACACTTTAAATCATATGTTTACAGAGCTTCTTTCTCTCCTATTTCTCTTTCAGGTGAACCTCTGAAATTCCTGTCTGACTTCAAGCCCAAGAAAGTGACGGAGCGCCAGACGGCCACGTTCCAGGTCGGTCTCTCCAAGAAGACCGATGCACCACTCATATGGAAGGTTTGTATGTGACTGAAAAAGACGCACCGAAGGACTTAAATACACTTTCACACAAGCACATAAAATCCCATCTAGCATGAGATTTAAGAATGTGTTTTTGGCATCTAGGAAATGAAACAAACAAATCTACCGACAACATTCTAGGTAAACAGGAACACCGTGGAAATGCACATGATTGAAAAGGAATATAGAAATAGTTTTCCCAGAAGTGTCTTTAATTTTGGCAGGTAAAGGGAAAGGAAGTAAAAAGAGATGAAAAGTTCGACGTGTCCTTGTCTGAGGATGGGCTGACCTACACTTTGAGGATTAAGGATGTGAAAGTCAGTGACACTGGAGACTACACCATCAGCATCGGAGACCTCACTGCCACCGTGCCACTGTTATCAAACTCACGGATAACAGTATTCCACAGGCTTCAGCCGCATTAAAAACCTTTCTTTGTTATGCTTTGTTATGTTTTGTTTTTCCCAAAAGGGCTGTGACTTACTGTTTTAGTGGGACTAGCATTTCTAAGAATACAAACGTCCCCCTTTAGACTCAGTGGAGATGAGCAGTTACTGCCTTATTTTCCTCCCCTGAGATTAGATGCTTCGTTCCTTCATAGCGATGCTAAACAACATCATCGTCCCTCTATCGTCCAAATGAAGACGTATGGGTTGCATAATAAATCCTCCCTCCTAGAGTTGAAAGCAAGCCAACCAATCCCTCCTCACAACAAGCTCATTTATTACGGCTGTGTCTAACAAGATGCTTACTCGCCCAAGGTGCAAGCTGTGGCATGTAAATATCTTCACAAGGACGTGTGCCTGTCCTTTGGGGTTGCAGGAACAGAAGTAATTGAGGTGGTGTTAATTACAGTTATTCATGAAAAGTCTCTGTATTTCTTCTTCTTTAACTTTCAGTATATAATGAAGGTCTGAGGTACGTGAGGGACTGAATTTAAAGAACAAAATTCAATCCTCTTCACCCTGTAATCCTGTTTTACCATTCTTTAATGTGATTAACCCTTTATTTATAGTACAGACATTGCTTTAAAAGTTAAGCATGCTACTAAAAGGTCAAATAAAACCTGAAGTGACTCCCTTTCTTTTGTTCCCGGCCTATTTTACTTTTATCCAGGGATTCCCATCAAGTTCACCAGCCATTTTAAGAACGTCTGCGTGCAGGAGAGAGGCAAGGCCCGCCTGGAGTGTGAGATGAGCTCCAAGGACGTGCACGTTCGCTGGCTGAAAGACGGGTGTGATACCGCAGCGAGTCGTCGCCACTTCTTCATGCGCGAGGGAAAGAGGACAGAGGTGATCATCGAGGACTGTGAACTGACGGACGAGGGAGAGTACTCGGTCATCTGCACTCAGGACAACGACGCTCACGAATACGTCACTTCTGCATATCTGACCGTGGATGGTAATGAGTTCTTTTGGGGTTTTTTATCAGGGTTTAAGGTTAAACATTTGGAACATTACTGAATATGTTATGCCAGAGTGTTTTGCCTCCCTGAAGAGTGGTATGTCAGATGCTCAGTGCCCCACAGGCTCCCCTGCAGAGCTGTGTGTTGTCCTTGATGAGGAGAAGGTGGACGGAGTGTGGCTGAAAGATGGAGCGGAGGTCAGAGACGACACGAGACCGGATGAAAGAGTCTCCTTGTTAGTCCTCTAATGGCCCCTTGTTCTTTCAGATAATACGGCAAAAGCCAACCCTAATGTCTGCCATAGTCAAAATGCTTGAAACCTTTGATATCATCACCATTTTAATGGAGTCAATTTTATCAGTTAAGTTTTATTGCTCACACACACAATTCTCTTTTTTTTCTTCATGAACACATAGTTTGCGTGTTACATTGGCAGATGTCGGAGCTGAGGGGGGTTCAGGTGGTCAAACAGGGAGCCGCTCACAAGCTGATCTTCTCTGGCGTGACTGATGCTCATGAGGGAAAGTACACCTTCAGAGCCAAGCAGGCCGAGAGCGAGGCTGGGCTCACTATTGCAGGTGTGTGTGTTTTTGTATTTGTACTTGACATTTGAGTATGTATTCTCAGGTGGCAAAGAGACTAATTAGAAGAAGCCTCCTGCCACTGTCATGGAAACAAACCCTGTGTTCATATTTAAATCCAGACAGTCTTGTTTTTTATACTACCACTAGGAGGCGACAATGCCACACATTTTCAAATGCTTCACACTAGAGCTAACCAAACTAATACTCAAAACTAAATAAAACCATAATGAGATAAAAACACCCATACAAATCACATCCCAAACTATATTAACCCTGTTTCCCAGACCCTGCAGAAATGGATTCCTCTGTGCTGGACTTGTTGGGGGCCCGACCTGACCAAGCAGGCAAACAAAGAGAAGCTTATTTTATAAGAAGTCTGCTTCACCCGTCGCTGTGACAGATGCACTTTGATTGACCACTGACCTTATGCTACACGTACTGACGTCACTAACAATGATTTTAGCCTTTATTAGATTATCATTATTAGATATCTATCAATCAGATTTTTTAATCATTTAAATTTTAGATTTTAATTGTGTTATTTGGGTGGAAAAGCTGTTTTTCCCACATCTTCCATCTACTAATTACTCCAGCTCTGGTAATGCAACAAATGGCCACTAGATGTCAGACCTGCTCCCATCCTTGTGTAGGGATTCCTCTCCAGGAGCACATTAGTGTTCGGAGTGCTGGAGGGATTTTCACTTGTTAGTCAGCCTGCTCAGCCAGAGAGGTTGTCCTTTCTCTCTCAATCACAAATGCTTCTCCCTCTATAGAAAGAATCTGACTTTCATCTTTTCTTCAGGGTTTCCCGTTTTCGACCAAATACACTTCTTCCATTGGGCTTCCTGTACCAGGCCGCATACCATGTCAAAACAAGGGGAATGGAGTCTGTGCATAAAGATTGAATACGTGCACAGTGCATCATATCCACACAAACACTTGTTGGTTGGTTTGAGGACGGTGGCAGGAACACTGCCGATTACATAACTACTCCCTTTGAGGTTTCCAGCAGTTTATCTTGTTAATCTGCATAACATGCAAAGTGGGTTTGAATCCAGTCAACAACTTTTCTGAAACGCCTCTTGTATTGTTACCTGTTGTATGGATGAATGAAAACAGACAAAGAAACACACAAAGGCCTATAAATGTACCCCAAACAAAAATAGAAATGATTTCACCTTCCATAACTTGCCACTGTGGATTTAATGCTGCCAGTATTCATTTTGTATCGTCTGTCTAGAACATTATTAGAATTGAAATGAAACGACGAAGGCGGGGTGCTGACCCTCAGCTTTGCAGGTGTTATCATCCGCATTAAAAGAGCTGTGAAGCAGCTGTAATCCTTTTTTTAATAAACACCAGCAGTGAGTTCAGGTGACAGAAAGTAACTGGACAAGTTAACACAAACTGTGTCATATCTAATGTCTGATAGCAAATCCTTTGAAGTCATTAACAGGAAACAAGCAGCCAATTTGAATTCTAGATTGTTTCCGTGTGCTTTTTGCAGTCATGATTGCAGTCTGATCACATGTAGCAGAAACACATAAGTTTGATTGAGGCCAGGTGATCAGCTTGGCATGTCAAGTGTTAGACATAACAAGCTCATTCGTGCCTCATCACTGCCCGGCTGCATTGTCCTAAGACTTGTGGACTACATGTTAAAAAACAAAAAAAGGCCTGCAACAAAACTAAAAGCTTTCCTTTTACTTTCCAACTGCATTGTGTGATGGCTTCCCTCTGACAGCCTCTGTGTAGGCATTGCCTCTGAGTGGTCTGCTGCTCCTTGAGACAGTGAGCGTAAAGAGCTGTCAAATAGACAGAGAGCGGTCGCGACCCCTCTCCATCCTGACGTCACTGGGCTGGCTCAAACAAACTCCATTTCTCCACAGCCACCAGGAGACTGGTAATGTCTGGTTGCCAGGCTCAAGTAAATGAATCACCGACGGGCAGTAAACCGACGTCACTGGTACCTTCCGCCTCCTCACTGCCCGGCTACGGCACAATAAGGTGGAAACAGCCTGAATAGACAGTCTAGATATTTGAAACTAAAGGCTGCTGCACCCAAAGGCAGCTTAATACATCTCACAGTGCATTCATAAGACTAAATCTAATAGATACATGATTAACATAACTTGAATGAGGCAATATTAATAATTATCAATTATCTTATCAGTAAGATAATTGTAGTGTCGTTCACATTTATTTGGAGATTCATTCAAAGAAGACTGGAGTTTCTTGATCATAAGACCTTGGCTATGAACGAATGAGATGCATTTGGAAAGAACTGGCACTGCACTATGAGGTGTGTGTGTGTGTGTGTGTGTGTGTGTGTGCATAAAAAGGGGAAACCGCAGAACGAGAAGGCAGGGGGAAGTATTGGTAGACGTCTGGATGAGGTTCCACAGAGTTACAGCCTGTTGAAAAGCACATTTTCCACCTCGGACAGACAAAAGAGTGCAGCAGTTACTAGAACAGAGCGCTCTGTTGTCCTCCAGTCCTTTCTGCCTTAACGCCACTTTAGCTGCTGAGGGCTAACAGCTTCTGTAGAAACGCAAAACACTGACCGGTCATAAAGATCAGCTGACATTTTTGAACCTTTAATTCTAGTAAACAAACCGAGAAGACCAAAGTATGGAAAGTTGCATTGTACTTGCATTTATTTTTCCAATAGATATTCACATTCATAGCAGTTTCACTACAGCAAAGAAACTATTTCATCTCTACGGTCATTAGAAAAAACAGAAATCACAAAGTGAAAATCAAGGACAAGGTAAAGTATATCCTAGAATTAAAATAAGAGATGCAATATGTGTTCATAAAATGAAGTCAGATGATGTATTGTAAAAACAAACCCAGCTCTTTCCACAGTGACAACATTTGGTGCGGCAAATAAAAGGATAACATTGAAAAAATAAGAAGTTTGTAACACTTCAAGAGCCACTAATGTCATTTAAATAAAAATGCTGATTCTCCCATGCGTCACTTCATTGTGATTAAACCCTCAACATGAAAACGAACATCTGTTGTCTCTTCAAACAGAAACGTAAGGCGTTAAAGGAAGAAAACGGAAGCATATACTTAAAGGATACAGTACACAACAATCCTTTATAACACTATAGCTGCTTTAAGAGAGATTGACTGGCCTTGCTCTGGATACAGAAAAGTGCAGCACACAGTCGATTCAGATGAATATCACAAAGAGAAGATGTCGTTACTTGTACATACTCGTCATACTGATGGGGGGGGGACTGTCAGTCGTAGTCATAAAAAACAACTGGGTGTGTAGTGTGCACCTTTTCCATCACAAGAAACGACAGCAAAAAGAAACTTATTCATGGGGGGGGGGGGGGGGAGGGACCGAGTGAAACCACGGGCCCGCTCTACTGCAACAGCCACTGGTTCCGGCTCATTACTCGCACACCATACTGGTCTCCCACAGCTCTCTCAGATACCTTTTGTCTGCACGCACAAAGCACAGAACAACAGGGCTGATGACAGGCTGAGGTAAAGCGATGCGCCTGATGGCCTGCCATCTGTGTGTGTGTGTGTGTGTGTGTGTGTGTGTGTGGGGGGGGGGGGGTCTTCCCCTGTGTGTCATATTTCACCTGCTGGCCTAATTCACAGCTACAGTATCGCTGAACAATGACCTCCTTCCTATGCGGAGGGCCAAATGCACTCCTGCACCAACAAAAAAAAAAACCCACACAACAGGTTGTTTGATACATGAGAGGGCTCTGATGCTGACAAGTTCAAGTGAAATGAGTTCAGTTTCCTATCATGCTTTCAGCTTTGGTTATCTGCGCCCAAGTCAAGTAAAAATAGAGACGACGGAGGAGAAACAGAGTATTAAAAGTAAATCCTCCAGAGTCAGATCCTTTCTGACTCAATATGGTATCTTACATAAATAGCCCACATAGTAAGGGTGAGTAAGACGGCTTGACTCCATGTCGTCAGACTGCACACTAGTCGTGTTAACCAGCGTCTCTGCTTGTACTTCACTGAAACCCCGATTGAAGACAGCACGAAGCAGAGCCTCTTTGGATGTCCGTCCGCACGACGGCTGATATTAATTGTTGGCAGAACGTGCTCTGCAGAGTGGGACGCTTCAGCAATGCTGGGAGGAAAGAAAAGAAATGAAAACACGGGCCGGAAGACGAGTGGTCGCACAGACAGACTTGTTGAAACACTTCTGACTGACGAAGCAGAAGAACACATGTGCTGACGAGCATGCTGACAGGCCAAAAAAGGAGATTGAGGAATCGTCCGGCAAAGCAGCGGTCAGGATCCGACGGATTGGTGCCAAGTGCCTTTCCCGGTCAAACTAAGACTGCTTTCGATGAGAACTCTTGAAACCACGGTCTGCCTGCAGATGTACCATGGTGGCTGGTGTGATGCATAAACATGTTTAGATGTGTGTGGTGTTTTTGAGCGTATGCCGGCGTGTCACCGACAGCACCAGGGGTCATGGACCCTTCAGAAAAGCAACCCATAACATAAGAGTCGGTTTACTTTCCCATGCCTGTTGTTTAGCATACAGCACAATATCTCACATCAAGGTGCATGTGTAGTGAACCACTAAATATCTAAAGCTCTCTCTTTGCTATTTGCGTTAGTGGTTAATACTTTCTACTTTTCCGGTGTCTGGTTAGTGGTATTAATCATAATGCCAGTGATGGATACTATAGGTAATAGGTGGAGAGTGTATTCAAGAGGAGGCTTGTCCGCCGATGAACATGGTTACTATTAAGGTCCAATTAAACCTTAAGAAAATACACACACCAGTTTGAGCGTACCGCACCCAATCAGATACTACTTTGAGGGGATGCTATAAATAAAAAGGGTTTTCGGAGCCTTGTGAAGAATACGTTATCCCAAAGTGTTTCTACAAACTATGATGGTTCACAGCATTTCTGTTGGTTCGGATTTGTCACAGATGCACACTCAATAGCCAAGACAACGAAAACACACACTCTCCCATACACACACACTCAAACCATGCATGTACTGTATGTAGACACCTGAGGAAAGGGTTACAGTATACTTCCAGCTACTTAGTTCCAGCATTAAGACGTTTGCTGAGGGTGAAACAAATGAAAGGTGAGCGGGGAGGGGGGGGGGGGGGAATGCGCGATAGATGAAAGACGGGATATCATATCCCTTTTCTGTTCAGTCAGGCAGTCCCGGGGCAATGTGTGTGTTTATGGTGATGGTGAATGGACTTGTACTTGTACAGTTCCCACAGAGAGATTCCAGCCAGTAACAGAGCTCTTTCTTTTTGGTCTCCATAACATGGTCCCAGGCCAACGACAGCATGGGTCAGCTGATCTAGTCCAGCAATAAGAGCCCCATGGACTTTTCCTAATAAGTGAAACAGCAGGGGGGGGCGTAGGTGTCAGGTGCGTGAGCATGTTGACATTGGCACGTACGTTTCTGAAAAACACGCTACAAAACCTGAAATACATGTACAAGCGTGTGAGACTGTTTAAAATGAAGGGTTCGTTTTGGCGGCTATTTTAGGTTTAGTCATTAAGAGGAAAATGCTGATTAGTTTTAATGAGTTTTACCCTTCATAGTTTGAATCAAGTGTCCTCTTAAACACCTCCTCCTCTCGATCACTAAACTACAACGCATAGCCGTCGACTGTCCCTGCTTGCCTTTTCACCTATTTGTTTGTCTCGGCCTCTGGCATTCTTTCTCTGCACATCTAGTTATTCAAGCACATCCTAATTCATCCATCCGGAGAGACTGGGGTTTGTATGATTTGTTTTGACACAAAGGCTGAGTGGTTGTTGTCAATGAAATGGAAGGGACTGCAGATAATAAAAGCAGGGGTGGACATGCTCCTGACTTTAAGAACAGAACCCTGAATTTATCAGAGGAACAGAGGGAAACACCAAACATGGGCAAAACAAATCCCTTTTCAACAAAACCCTGATGTTAAATTGTGTTATTGGACCACTGAGAGTAGACGTGTGAGGAGGGAGTCAGTGTGGTGACTGTGTGTGATGGGACTGCGAGGTAAAGAGTGTTAATCAAACACACACACATGCGCGCACACACACACTTACACACACATACATACACTCCTTGAAGGTCCCTAGTTTACATGCTCCCCTTAAACTAAAACAGTTAAAGGTAAAGTAATACTCTCTACTAATACTACTAGGCTTGAGAGATGAAAGAAGGCAGGTAGGACTGTTGTTGGGAGAGGCTGCAGATAATACTAGCGTGGTGGTAAGGAGACAGGTGTGAGACTACCATACTAGTCGGGTCGTAGGGTGACGGCCGCATGTAAAGACTGTAGTGAACCAGTTGTTATGGTAACAATGGCGTGGGAGCGCCACACTGAGATGAGGGTCGAGGGTTTAGGGGATCTGGCAGTGAGATGTGTCCATGATCACTTTAGGGCCTCGCGGCCGTTCACTGCGGACGTCGGCGGCACCTCACGTTCTCTTCCTGGCCACCTCCGCCTCCTGGCACTTCACGGCCGAAAGCGCTATCAGCATCTGGGCGGCGTAGTAGGTGGCCATGATGATGGCCCGCGAATAGGGCACGGGGAAGCAGAACTTGTTGACGGCGATGGTGAGGTCGGAGACTATGAAGAGCACGGAGCCCAGGCAGCCGGACAGCTTGGTCCAGGTCCACAGGTCGTTGGCCAGCTGCAGGCCCGCGATGGCCCTCCAGCCCATGAAGCCGATCAGAGCGGCGTAGACCCCCACTAAGTAGGTGAAGGGGCCCGACAGGTAGGGGTACAGCAGCATGTAGCTCATAGAGGACAAGGCGGTGACCACCAGGCCAGCGGACACGTTGACGGGCTTCATCCCGAAGGCGGATGAGTAGAGGATGTGCGTGACAGCAAACATCAGAAGGCCTGCGGGACACATTAGACGTGTGGATGTGAATTAACTCTGAAGACAATCTTACAAAGTAGCATCCTCTCTATCTGTCCAAAGCAAAATAAAGAAAATAAACAACTCGGCTCTTATATTTGTAGTTTTGGCGCGTTGTTAAAAACCCGTATGATTATCTGACCGCTCATGTCTTTTTCCCCGTTGAACATTTTTGAAGCAATGTCACCGTGACTTCCCGGATACAATTATGCTTTTACCAACAGCAGTGACGATGGAAGCGACAGAAGCTTTCTCCTCACCGTGGACAAAGTAGCCCTGCTCCTGCCAGATGAGAAAGGCGTCACCCAGAGAAGAGAAGATGAGGCCCGCCAAGATCTTGCGGGCACTGGAGTGGGCACCTAAGAAGCTGAACCCATGAGCCAGTAGAAACACCCAGAGGCAGAAGATGGGTAGACATTTGATGAGTGCGCTGAACCAGGACGGGCTGGAGGTGGGCAGCCACAGGACAAAGTATACACAGGTCGCCTTGAAGAATGGCACCAGCTTTGGGCCTTCACTCTTGACCTGAAACGCAGATTAAATATTGACATTATTAATTTAGTCAGTTTAGTTGCACTCACACAACGGAACTCCATTCAGTGAAACAATGTTGACTGTTATCGCAACTAGATTCATCAAAAGGTCATTTGTCTCGGGCGGCAGACGGCTTGAAATATATAACAGGAACAGTGAGCACCGTGTGCGTGTTTGAGGTCCAGTATCTCACATCTATAAACAAGGGAACACAAGCAGCTAACTACAAGTGCTTCTCCTTATTTGGCAAAGTTGTTTGGGTTAAGACCGGAACAGTGTTCAGTGTGGTCACTAGTTTACATCACTGTGTCAGACATCCACGTGTTTTGTGGCTGAAGCGAAACTCTTGCAGAAACAGCAAGTAGAAGAGGAAGCGCAAAAGGCTGCTCCTTTGACTCCCTGTAACCTTTTCTTCTTCTCTCTTTTACTGGACTCCCAATCTCATTTTAGTTTCTCTTCTCCTCCTCTGCTTCACCTTTCTTCTCTGCGTCTCATGTTCTTGAGAACTGGCGAGCAAGTCTCAATTTCTTCTTTCAAGCTGTGTTACCAGTCGTATTTCTTTCTGTCCAAAAGCATGAGGCCCCTACAGGGTGAAAAGAAATAATAATAATAAAAACCTCTGGAATGACCACCCGCCTATGGTGCTGAGGATGGCTCTCTAGGCCTAAGAAAAAAAGGCCTCTGGCATCAAATAGGGAGAGGAAAGGAGAGGTTGAGTTAGGAGACAGAGGAATCGAGTGAGGGTTCACTGGAGCCGAGGTCACTTTAGGAGAGATGAGGAGGATACGAGTACGAGTGAGACAGGGAAGGGGGGGGGGGCGAGGAAGGGGTCATAATGCATCAGGGAAATGGGTTGCAGAGACTTAGCGGCTATCTGATGTTCCAAATGACTATTTTCCAGAGGCCCTTTTGCGCCCGTCTCCACAAACATTCTGTGGTAAAGTATACCAAATGTGAAAAAGCTCTGATTACAATGTTCACAAAAGAAGGCGTAAGTAGGGCAGACGAGAAGAAGCAGGGAAAGAAGCATGGAGGCGGGAAGCTTTAGGGAAGAGGGGACAGTGAGGAAGACGGGGTTTCAAGCACTCAGATGACAGCTGGATTTAGGATAGGACGAGTGAGTTGGGAGGGGGGGGGGGGGGGGGGGGGGCAGAGGAAAAAAATGAGCGGTCACTCTAGTTCATATGGTTTATGCTCCTGGAGGAGGGGAGGAAGGGGAAGCCCTCGATTGCACAAGCGCTTAATAAAAGAACGGCCCAAGTGATCATACAGGATCCGACAGAGTGTTTGACCTCAACCCCGCCCCGGTGTCACTGATGTGACTAATATCACAGCAGGGAAACAAAAGGGATTAAACACACGTGCACACACGGTCACAAGCAACCAACTTGATTGGAAAGCCACATCGCACTGAAAACCTTGAGAAGTGAGGACATATCCCTCCAGTATTAGCTGAACTCTACTGGCTCTGTGTATCTGTAGATCTGGTTGTGGAGCATTTGAAGCTCTAAAGTGACTAAGGACTGGCCAGAAACACAGACAGCCTGTTGTTTTGTGTGCTTTCGCATTCACTCAGATCTTCCACTGTGGTTTTGGAACCAAAACTTGAATCATTTTTTCTTTTCAACTAAGCTCCCAAATTGTGGCATTGTGGCATTTCCAATGGATGGGATTTTACTTATTCATTTTTCCCATGGCTTCTTTCTGACACCTTGTGTTTCATTGTCTCACTGATCTTACACAACTTGGGACAGTTTCAGTCCTTTTCTTTAAAAAAAGTTTCAGCTGTCTACCAAAGCAGCAGAAACAGAGGAAGAGCCCGGAGCAGTATGACAAGGCTGAGATAAGTAACACAATAAGCTGCTAGATCTTATTTATATATTGTTACATAGTCTGCTTACATATACATTTAAGATAGTATCCGTATTGTCCAGATGCAAGTAGCATAAGAGGAATCTTTCCACTAAAACTAAAAGAAGGTGTATAATGTGAACTAATGGACTCCTCTACTCTCCATTAATTACTCTCAATGGTCGTCATAAAACAAATGGATATATAAATAAAGATTAAAGCTAATCTTCTGACAAAAACGTGCGTGTATGGTGAGTGCCAAGCAGAGGAGACAAACCTGGCAGCACTCCCAGACCAGCCAACACCATAACTCTGTTTGTCAGGCCGAAGGGGGGGGGTACTTAAGCACAGGACGCAGGAAAACATTTCTGTCGTTCTGTCGGGAGCATTGTACAGATAGGGCAGATCTAGTACTTAATAAAGTGCAGTGAAGGAATGCTTCGCCTGAGATCTGCAGGAAACAGCACAATGAGATTTAGGTTCAATGATCCACGATCACAACCGGTTGTTATTTGTGGGGGAAACACACACACACACACACACACACACACACACACACACACACACACACACATACAGTAGAGTACAGTAAGGGATTAGGAGGGTGAGAAATGATTCCATGGAGGAAGGTGGGAGGTAGTCAGAGACTCCCACAACCTTTGGTCCTATTCCTGCTGCGTTTGAGCCGTACTTCACATTTTCCCTTTTATTGTTGTTCATGTAAACTTCCTGTATGTACACACAACGTATCACAATGTACAATGTGTGTATCTACACACCTAGTCCACAAAACACACAGATCTTCCAAGAAATGTGTGTGTCTCACTGTAGCATTGAGCTGGCCTGAAACAGTGTTTAGACTTTAATCTAAGTTATGTATACTTATGGTGACTATTGCCGTTTTCTTTTCAAACCACCTACCACGTTACTGCTATAATATTTGATGCAATTGTTCACATTGCATCAAATTGTTACAACAATAAGGCCTAATTGCCGAGTGGAATTCATACACTGCAGTGTATGTAAGGGTTTCCCCGCTCAGCATCTCGTACCTGAAAGAGATTCCCGGGTATCTCTTCCCGACGGTATTGTCTCAGCTGTAGCCGCTGCTTGACAGTCGCCAGCATGAAAGAACAGAACATGCTGCCTCATTTGGGAGACAAAAAACGAAAACTCCTCATTTGTGTTATCATCTTGCCGTCTGAATGATCACGTTCTAAATGAAGGCTGTTTGCAGAAAGTGCTGCAGCACAGCTGACTGGCTGCAAACAGCTGCCTCTGTCCTCTGTTAAACAATAACATAGTTACTGATTGACTGCATTTGCATGGTCACTAACAAGACATAAGGTTTTTTTTAGCTACTGCAGACATGCACTGCTTCTTTCGCTGTGCTAAACTACGAATCAATGCACTTTTCAAGCTAGCAAATGATCAAAACATTTGAGCTCGCCTCGTAACTGCAGTCGTGGAAGTAACGAGCAGCTGTCAGCCGCTAATACTTCTGTATCAACCACGAAGCAACAAAAACACTGCACTGAAGCATTGAACATCTATTCAATGTTTCTGGGTCATACGCTAGCCGAGTGTTGGAAACATTAAAATAGAGGCCTGTAAAGTCTTGTGTACACAATCTGGCAGAGGGGAACTGTAACATAAGTCCTGGCAGACACAGCTGGCATGTGAGTCATATGACAATGTTATTTACAAGTAGCATCACACAACGCTGCCCTGAGGATCCCTCTTACAGCTGCTTCAACTGCAAGAATAACTTAAAGTCAGCTGCAGCACAAAAGGATTATTGATCATTTAGCGCTGTTAAAACACTTGGGGACTAGGTACAATAATCTAATGCCTCGACGAGTGCAAAGTCCTCATTAGTTAAGGACAGTATGTGCTGACTGTAGATCATCTGTAAAAGACAAAAGTTGATAAACTCCCTGATGAGCACAACAGTCAGTTCACCAGATGGAGTGTTTCATAGAAACCTAGTTTAGAGTGAGAAATAAAAAAGAGAGCCTAAACAACAGGTCGATATAATAAAGTTATAGCAGCAGTATTTTACCTCTGAGCAGGAATAGAGGGGTGAACTTAAACCCACTGCTATTTGTATTTATCTACTTCTCAATTATTACAATGTACATGCCTGTACCTGCCCTCTCACTGCAATAGTGGGGCCAAGGCTTTAAAGCAAAGCTGTGCAACCCCGGGGCCTGCACGGCATCATCATCACTACAGCAACCAGTTTATATGGCAAGCATTCCTCCACACAGGCACCTCTACTCGTATCACACAGGCTACACATCACGGTTTACTGCAGGCCAAGTTGGCCCCTGCAAAAGGGCTAAAATGTCAAAGCAGCTCTGTCAAAGTAAGAGGATGCTCGGGCCGGTTCAATTATTCATGTTCTGCCACTGTCATTTATTTATTTTTTGTGTCAGGATGGCCAATTTCCTGCAATGGCACTTTAGTCAATGATGTAGCTAATGGACATGGCAAACAAGAGAGTCTATGCAGAGCAAAGCTACAGCAAAGGAGATGGAAAGAAGGGCAGCAGCAGCGGTGCACCGCTTGGCGCATGCGTTCCTGAAGGGGGAGAAAAAACAGACAAAAAAGTTCGTCACATGACAGGTTTTCGTTTTTTTTTTTGTCAGGGGCTGCCTTTGGAAATTGGTGGAAACATCCTCCTGTTCGTGGAATGTCGAGACGGGACAGTGTTAACTGTGGCTGCTAAAAAAACGTGTCAAAATGTCAAGGAAACGACGACACTGAACATAAAAGTTCCTGCTTCCAGTGACACAACCCAAATAACGAGGCAAGGTGCTTTTGACAACATGATGGGTGTCCAAGGATACTGCCTGAACATTTTCAATTCCGCACACAGATATTAATTGCTAATTAAATGATAAACTAATGAGCACGCACCAGCCTTCGAAGTCAAAATAACACAAATAAAACATTAAACAATTTACTACTAACTCGATAGTCAGTCGATAAAGAACGTGATAGACACATAAAGATGGACTGGTGTATTTTCGGAGTGTTTTCCTGCAACGTTAGCTAAACTAGCTCCACTTATTCCTGTTTAGTGTGTAAAATACCAACGCGGGCTAGAGGGAGATACTCACCACTGTTACCGGAGAAACCATTTCCCCCTTGGTTGTGTCCGTGTCGGTGAGAAAGGTATTTAACGTAAATATCAATATTCGGCTTGGGTCCTCCTGTTTGTGTTGTACTGTCGGAGAGATGCCGATTGTTTTTGTCTTCGCTCCGATGGGCGGTCCGACGTCCAGTAGGAAGTGAAGACAAGCCGCCGCGTGGGCGGGGCTTTCTCTTTTTCACCAATAGCAGCAAAGAGTGGCAGTGAAGGGGCGGGTCGAGACGTGAGGGACGCCCTGATAGGAGGACCAGACTCCTGTTTACATATCGGAGCAGATGGCCTTTATTTACATTTTGCAGAGCCTATGGAAAAATTTGCTTCGAGTTTATTATTGATTGTGACAATCCTTTGTTAATGGGTCAGATTAGGCGTTATGAATTCAGACAATATGTCTGGAAAACATCTCGATGAGATCGAAATATTGCTGCAATAAAAATAAAGGAACCTTCTGTCTGCTTTCCCTTCAGTTTGAGCTCTCCGCTTTGCTTGTCTTAGATCAGAAGTTAGCAAACGTTTCCCCCTAACATCCCATATGCACATCAATATGACAACATTGCTCTTCAATATTAGTGTTATTAAAATGAGTTTACATTGAATCGAATGAAACTGTGTAACCCAAGTTAGTATCATTATAATGACAAATGTATGTATTTTCTCTCTCTCTCTCTCTCTCTCTCTCTCTCTCTCTCTCTCTCTCTCT